AGAGAGAGAGTGAGAGAGAGTGAGAGAGAGTGAGAGAGAGATATGAGAGAGAGAGAGATATGAGAGAGAGAGAGATATGAGAGAGAGATGAGAGAGAGAGAGAGAGAGAGAGAGAGCGAGAGAGAGAGAGAGAGAGAGAGAGAAGCTGCACACATTCAACTATTCGAGTGTGCACACACCAAGAACTACTTGGTCCTATTTCACTACCTACCTTAAATGAATCGACAGGCATTCAATTTACCAGCTCGGTATGATTAGTTTGCTTAACAAAAGATAGGGTCAACTGACAAACCTTTGAGTTTGACGTTTTAAGGTTACAGTATGCTATAAAGTTGTATTTGAGAGACCTAAACTCCAAACCAGACGCCACCTCAGATAGGACCGAGCCGCATCGCAGTGAGTCTGGAAAACTCCCGAAAGCAATCCCAGTTTGCGACAACCACGCTGGGGATTCGAACTATGGTGGTTGGTACCTTGGTGCAATATAGTATTCAATCTCTTTTTAATAGTAGTAGTAGTAGCAGCAGCAGTAGTAGTAGTAGAAGTAGTAGTAGCAGTAGTAGTGATATTAAGTGTCATAGATATTACGATTGTTATTATTGTTGTCATTGTTGCTATTATTATTATTATTACGATTTTTATTTCTGTTATTATTGTTGCTATTATTCCTATCCCCCCCCCCCCACATGTAGTGGGGACTCGAGGCGGCCAGACATCCCGTCGTCTCAGGCAGACAGCTCTCGGCAGATGGCAGACGCAGGGAACCAGCGCCCTCTCACTGACTCCAACTACGTGAGGAAGAAGCTGGCCGACAGCGGCTCGGCCATGTTGCTCTCGGCCTTTCAGAGAGACAACGTGTCCAGCTCTCCGCAGGTGAGGACCCGACGATTGTCGCCCTTACTTGTCTTTACTTGTCCTCTGTGTTGGGGTCACTGCTGTCGGAACATGTCCAGCTCTGCTCCTCTCCCCTCGCTCCCCCCCCTCTTCAGGATCCATGCCAGAGTCAGTCTGCTTATAGAAGACATGATTGTCGCCCTTAAATAGAAATTCATTCGTACGAACTGCAATGAGGTTACTGAACACACAATGCTACAACAGGGAACTGTTGCTTTTTCTTTCCTAATCCTTACTATTGTCATTTTCCTCTACTTCTTTTGTATGTTTGTCACTGTCTTGTGACCCGCTATTTCCTGGGTGCCTTGATAGTCGAAACAGACCTTGTGCTGTTGAAGCTAGAGAGGTGAGCAGAGTAAAACCTCTACTAAAACTAAAACAACGAAATTGTTTCAAAACCTCAAGCAGATAAAGAGTTAAACTTACACAATTTCACACATTAAACCTACAAAATTTTACACGTTAAACCTACACAATTTCACACATTATACCTACACTTAAACCTACACAATTTCACACATTATACCTACACTTATACCTACACAATTTCAAACGTTGTCTTTTTCTCGACAGCCTCCCTCTGTGAGCCAGTCTGGCCAGGCGGGTCGCAGCTCTCTGACGGCCGACAAACTCATCAACGCCATCATCATCCACCAGATCAACCAACCCACAGCGGACGAGAGGGACGGAAAGCCCACAGCCTCACCCATAAGGTAGGCTCGCTGACTTTGTGTGTGAGAGTGTGTGTGTTCGGCGTGTGTGTGTGTGAAGAGAGTGTGTGATCGGTGTGTGTGTGAGACAACCCACAGCTTCACCCACACGGTATGCTCGCTGACTTTGTGTGTGGTGTGTGTGAGAGTGTGTGTGTGTGTGTGTGTTCGGCTTGTGTTATATGACCTTATTGTGTTGCAAGTGCCGTAAAATCTTACTAAAGCAACAGCCCGTTCCTCTCTTGCCTTCTGCCTTCACTTACCGAGCATGGAGGAATTTTTAAAATATTTTTGTTAGTTTTAGTAAGGTTTTACGGCGCTCATATGGTTCTGCTCATATGACCTTATGCTGTTGCAAGTGCCGTAAAACTTTACTAAATCCAAACTAAAACTCTTACTGAAACTAAACCCAATGTCTCCCCCCTCCCCCCTGTCCCCCCCGAGCAGACAAGCCACACCCAACACGTCGGAGCCCTCTGTCAGTTCCCACGGCGACCACCACCAGCCCGTGGACTCGTCCAACTACTCCAAAACCTCACAGCATCATTTCGACTCTCAGGTAAGTTACGACTGTCAGTCAGTCGTAGACTCACGAGTAAGTACGACTGTCAGTCAGTCAGTCATAGACTCTCAAGTAAGTACGACTGTTTACAATTTTTAATTCGTACTCAGACATGTCAAAATGGGACGTCCCTTGAGAGAAAGCTCTGTGGCAGTGTCTCAGATTTGAAGAGGACTGCACAGTTTGTGCGCGACATCGGACTGATTGTCTTGCTGCTGTTATCGAGAATGAAGAAGAAGAAGAACAACAACAATTTTTAAGAGTGAAATGATAAAAGGCATATTAAATAGTTAAAGAATATGACATCAATAGAAAACCTACAAATTTAAGCCTAGTGTTGATTTTTGGCCCAATATCTCCATTTTTGGATTTCAAGAAGTAACTTATTTGTGTCATGACGCGGTGGAATCAGGCGCTTGTCTATTTTTGGGGCTTGTGGAGTAATTGGTATCATTATAAAGCTTGTTCACTTGTCTCGTTTTCGTTGAAAAAAATGCCCATCTATTTTGAATAGAAGTGAAGATAATTGAGATTTAAGAAGGTGGGGTCGCCTGATTTCAAAGGTGGAATTTGCGAAAAGTTGGCCGCGAAAGTTTGGTTATTTCCATAGCTTGATAGTCCGTGGAAACTGAAAAATTACATTTTTGTCTGCCTTAAATCAATATTTTTCAATAAAATCTACCCAGAAATATGTTCTCAATAGGACTACAATGGTGTGAAGCCAAAAACCAAAAATTCGATAACAATTGCTAAACCAGCAGAAAAGTGACGTTTTCTTCGATTTCATTATTCTGACGAGCGCCTGATTTCACCAAGATGCCTCACATTTTGTCGGCACGTCTCACATGTGTGTGTCCTAATCCTGACAGAGTCGCATGATGGTAGAAGCCGGTGGGGGCCGGGCGGAGGTGATGGACCCGCGGCACCGCATGGAGATGATTGACCAGAGACAGAGACAGCAGATCGTGGAGCAGAGGCAGAGGCTGGAGGCTGTGGAGAGACAGCGGCAGGTGTGTGTGTGTGTGTGGGGGGGGGGAGCGTAGAGTGTGTGTGTTGAGTGTCTGTATGCATGCGTGTGTAAAGTGTGTGTGTAGAGTGTGTGTGTGTGAGAAACTCGTAATTTGAGAGAGAGATTAGCATTAGTTTGTTACTCTCGTGAAACACCTTATGCAGTTGCGAGCACCGTAAAACCTCTACTAAAACTAAAACTCGTAATTTGAGAGAAAGATTAGCATTAGTATATGGCCTCCCTCCCTCCCCAGATCATGGACCCTCGCTGCCACCGACAACAGTACGAGTACCAGCAGCAGCAGCAGCAACAACAACAACAGCACCAGCAGCAGCACCAGCAGCAGCAACAGCAGCAGCAACAACAACACCAGCGTCATCTGGAGATGGAGCAGCGTCAGCGTCAAGAGGAGTTCCCCAGACAGCAGCATGAGCAACAGGAGCACCGACGCAGCAGCGGCGGGGAGATGGAGCATCACCGGAGAGGTAGGGCCGGTACGTCACTCCCTTTGTTCTCTCGGCCCAGCTTCCGTCTTCTTTTAAAAATGTATTTTAAAATATGTGTGAGGCAGCGTGGTGGAATCAGGCTCTCGTCAGGTGTGTGTGTGTGCCTCGCAGGTGTGTGTGTGTGTGTGTGTGTGACAACTGTGTGTTTCTCACAGGTGTGTGTGTCTGTGTCTCACATTGCCATCTTGCAGTGCCACCAGACATTTCAAACTGCTCTCCTGAATAATTAGCAAAACTGTCCCCAGGGTTTTATGCACCCCGCATAATTTGGCAAAATTCGATTTTTTTTTTTCATAATTTCTGATTATTTTCCTTTATCATTCTTTGTTAAATTTAACAGAATGGCTCAATTTCGCTTTTTAGGGCTCAGCAGTTTGAATAATTTCAGATTTTTCTTTTTTTCGCTTAAAACCGCGGGGACGAGCAAAATAATGTTGCTTACTACGTGATTCCGACGACGAAAACGATTTGTGTGTGGGTGTGTTTCAGAAATTGAAGTGGTCCGGCGCCCGGATGTGAGCCACCGCGACATGGAGGCCCGAGCCATGGCAGGAAGCAGCTTCCGGCAGCAGCAGCACGAAGCCGAGGTGGAGCAACAGCAGCGGCGGCTGGAGTACGAGCACAAGCAGCGGCAGCAGCAGCAACAGCATCAGCATCAGCAGCAGCAGCAGCAGCGAGACGCGGCGTACAGACAACAGCAGCAGCAGCAGCAGCATCATCAGATGGCCGACCCCAAGATGAGGATGATGGCTGCGGCGGCCGCCGCTCAGGGAGAGAATTGGCCTCAGCAGACGTCCTCACAGGTGTGTGTGTGGGTGGGTGTGTGTGTGTGTGTGTGTCTCGCAGGTGTGTTTGTCTCGCAGGTGTGTGTGTGTGTGTGTGTGCCTCGCTGGAGTGTGTGGATGTGTGTGTCTCTCACAGGTGTGTTTGTGTCTCGCAGGTGTGTGTGTGTGTGTGTGCCTCGCTGGTGTGTGTGTGTGCCTCGCTGGTGTGTGTGTGTGTGTGTGTGTCTCGCAGGTGTTTGTGTGTGTCTCACAGGTGGGTGTGTGTGTATGTGTGTGTCTCGCAGGTGGGTGTGTGTGTGTGTGTGTGTCCCGCAGGTGGGTGTGTGTGTGTGTGTATGTGTGTGTCTCGCAGGTGGGTGTGTGTGTGCTTGCCTCGCAGGTGTGTGTGTGTGTGTGTGTCTCGCAGGTGGGTGTGTGTGTGCTTGCCTGGCAGGTGGGTGTGTGTGTGCTTGCCTGGCAGGTGTGTGTGTATGTGTGTGTCTCGCAGGTGGGTGTGTGTATGTGTGTGTCTCGCAGGTGGGTGTGTGTGTATGTGTGTGTCCCGCAGGTGGGTGTGTGTATGTGTGTGTCTCGCAGGTGGGTGTGTGTGTATGTGTGTGTCCCGCAGGTGGGTGTGTGTGTGCTTGCCTCGCAGGTGTGTGTGTGTGTGCTTGCCTCGCAGGTGTGTGTGTGTGTGCTTGCCTGGCAGGTGTGTGTGTTTTAGGGATGTTTTTTTCTTCTTCTCTTGTCCTTTCTTCCATTGTCAGTAGGTGGTTGGCGGGTGCTCTGGTGTGGTTTGCTTCTTCTTTCCCATCAAACATCTATTGTTCTTATCTCTCCTCCTCTTTTGTGTTTGTTTACTCTCTTATAACACATCTAATCTTCGGCACTTATATGACCTTATTATGTTGCAAGTGCCCTAAAACCTCTACTAAAACTAAAACTAACTCCTTCTCTTTTATATTTGTTACTCTCTTGTAACTCCTGTAAATTTTCGGCACTTACATGACCTTATTGTGTTTCAAGTTCCGTAAAACACTTACTAAAACTAAACTAAAAATGCGGGTGGTTGGCGGGTGCTCTAGTGTGGTTTGCTGCTTCTTCTTTCCTGTCAAACATCTGTTGTCCTTATCTCCCCTTCTTCTTTTTTATGTTTGTTACTCTCTTGTAACACCTCTAATCTTCGGCACTTATTTGACCTTCTTCAGTTGCGAGCGTCGTAAAACCTCTTCTAAAAACCAAAACTAACTCCTTCTCTTTTATGTTTGTTACACTCTTGTAATTCATCTAATCTCCGGCACTTATATGACCTTATTGTGTTGCAAGTGCCGTAGTACACTCACTAAAACTAAACTAAAACTGGGTTTTGTTTTGGTTTTTTTTGTTTTTTGGGGGGGGGAGGGGGAGGGTTTGTGTGGAGTTTTTTTATTCGTCTCTTGTCCTTCCTTCCGTCACCAGAGAGGTGACCACGGAGAGCGAGACAGCCATCACGACGGAGCGGACAGCCGCATGCGACAACAAGACGGGGAACCGCGGCCTCGCGGAGGTGGGATGTCGGAGAACGAGTCTCCCCGCAGTGGGGGCGGAGGTGGCGGCGTGGGTGGAGGAGGAGGAGGTGGAGGCGGGATCTCGGACCAGCGCGGTCGCAGCGGGAGTGGAGAGGGAGGCGGCGGCCCCCCGGACATCCGTCCCAGCCACTCCTCGCCCATGTCCTCCTCGGCTGCCGCGCACCCTGGGCCCGTGTCTTCGGCGGCGGCCGCCGGGGCAGCAGCGGGGGGAGGAGGCCACTCTGGCGCCGGGATGAGCCGTAGTAGCGGCAGTGGTGGTGGTGGCCAGGAGGGGAAGAAGTACTCGGAGACCGATGGGATGACCTTGGAGGACGCCATCGACGCGGCCATTCAGGAGGACTACAGCGGTGGGAAGGCCAGTAACCCGGTCATCCGCGTGGCTGCCTCGCCGTCCGTTCAGGAGAAGAGCTCCTCTCTGCTCACCCGCATCCGAGACTCAGTCATTGGTCAGTTGATTTTGACATCTTGATTTCACTTTTTTTTTAGTTTGATATCTTGATTTGACGTTTTGTTTTGATATGATATTTTGATTTGATATCTTTGTTTGACATTTTGATTTGACATTTTAATTTGATATCTATCTTGATTTTACATCTTGATTTGACCTGTTTAAAACACTGTAAACTGTTGTGAGCTAAATTGTTCGAAGTACAATTTAGATTGTCTTTGATGATCAGCCTTTTTTTTTTTTTGGAGGAGAAAAACCATTGTCTTAGACAGGTGTGTGTCTTAGACAGGTGTGTGTCTTGGACAGGTGTGTGTCTTGGACAGGTGTGTGTCTTGGACAGGTGTGTGTCTTGGACAAGTGTGTGTCTTAGACAGGTGTGTGTCTTAGACAGGTGTGTGTCTTAGACAGGTGTGTGTCTTAGACAAGTGTGTGTCTTAGACAGGTGTGTGTCTTAGACAGGTGTGTGTCTTGGAAAGTACAATGTCACTATAATATTATAACAAAATTCGGGGGGAGGGGGGGGAGGGTGGTGGTCATATTGTCTTGGACAGGTGGCCTTTCAATTGGAGCTGGATGGACTGTTTTTTAGAATGTTGACCGGCATTTGAGGCTGGTCTCGACAGAATCACTAAAATGAAATGTGAGGTGTGCTGACAAATTGAGTTGCTTCTCGAATTTTGGCCTTATGGAAATTGATACATCAACTTTTTACAGTTTGTACAATTTTGTAAGTATGAAATAATGAAAGACACGGTAGACTTGAACAAAATGACATGAATTAAAAATCTATGAATCTGACTGTAGTGTCAATTTTCGGCCAATATTTCCATTATTGGATTGTGAGAAGTAACTCATTTTGTCAGCACACCTCTCAAATCTCCTTTTCCATTGCCGCCGATGCTGGGTTTTTTTTGGTGCGGATGGAATTGACTGGTCCTGTATATTCCCGTACATTTCTGTCTTTCCCGCCACTGCAGGCCCGGGTCAGCGGGAGTTCCGCGACTCGATGGAGGCCCCGCCCCCTAGAGGAAGTCCTGCGGCGTCGGAACCGGGCATGGTGGGATCGTCGTCGGACTCGCGACCCCGCAGCTACACCGTGCCCTCCTCCCAGGGCCCCTCCCCAAACTGGAAGAAATGGGTAAGTGAACAAATTACCGTAGTTTTTCCTATGATTAACACATTACAGGGGTGGGGGGGGTGGGGTGGGGGAGTCCCAAAAAAGCGTAAATTTGATTCTCGGAAAGTCATTTTTGTGCTGGCGTTACGATTAATTGTGCAGTGTTTTGTTGAAATTCAAATTCTAAGGGGGTGTAATTTTCAGACAGAATGAACTGGATAGATAACAGAAAAAATGAAACTTGCTTTTTTTTTCTTCTTCTCTCGCAAAATGTTTTGTGTGCCTAAAGAACGGTGCCAAAAGTCAGATTTTGACCATTTAGAGTTAAGGGTTGTGCCTTATGGGACATTCAATGCTGAGCACAGGGGTCTTTGAATTATTTAGATGTCTCAAGTAGTTTTTGAGATATTGCACATTTTGCGGGGTAGGGTAAAAAATTTGATTTTGAGAAAATGAGCTTTAAAGTTCCAACAAACGTGAGAACACACACGAACTTTTTTTTTTTTACGATTTTTAAAAATGTATTTATTCATAGAAAATTCAATTCCAATTTGGCGTTCTGTTGACATCGATATCGTGAATCGAATTCAACGGTAACACATAGCAGGGAAGAGAAAACATGCTTCAAGAATAGATATTAACACATTTTAAAAAGCGGTTTTCATTATTTGTTTTTATTATACCCTACCCTCAAAATAATTCTAAATAAAATATTTAAAAGTCATATCAATGAAAACCCTTTGAGCGCTCTGTCAAAAAAATGGTGGATTTATCATTTTTTATTGAAACACATTTTGGTCAAAGCCTGTAGCTCGAACCAATCTGGGGTGACTTTTGGTACCTTTCTATAGGCGCACTCACAAATATTTCGCTTTCTAGGCTTCTCTTCTTCTTCTTCTTCTTCTTCTTCTCTTCTATCCCATGGTTGGGGCAACCGTGGGGGCACCACGGCATCTGAAAACCAGCTCTCGCCATCTATTTTTGTCCTCTGCTTTCCTCAGATTGTCCCCATCGTCTTTCCTGTCCACTCTGTAATGTTGTCCTCCCATCTCCTTCTCTGCTTTCCTTGTACGGTTCCTTGCAGGATTGTTTTGGCAAGTCCTGTGGATCTTGTGACATGCTTAGAAGAGTTTGAAGACTTGCCGAGTGGGCGGTTGGCGGGTGCTCTGGTGTGGTTTGCTCCTTCTTTCCTATCAAACATCTATCGTCCTTATCTCCCCTCCTTCTTTTTTGTGTTTGTTACTCTCTTGTAACACCTCTAATCTTCTGGCGCTCATATGACCTTACGCAGTTGCGAGTGCCGTAAAACTCTTACTAAAACTAAACTAAGACTTGGCGGTGATTTCTTCTTCTCACTTTTTCTCTTCTCATTTTTCTCACCTCACTTTCTCTTCCCCCCCTCCCTCCGGCAGGACGTGACAGGTGAGAGAGGCTCAGGTCCGGTCGCGCCCCACGGGGGAGGAAGTCAGAGCGTGGACGGGAGCCCCGTGGCTTCCTCGTCCGTTGTGAGCCTGCCCAAGTCGAACCACCCGGGCTTCCCCCCTTCCCATCCATCGCAGCTACAGGCCCCGCCCCCTCCCGGCGCGGGGGTGGAGAGGGGCGGCCACGACCAGTCACGCTCCCCGCAGCCCGCCATGCACTTCCACCCGCGCTCCTCCTCCGCGACCTCACACCAGGGGGGCCAGGGAGGGGCGACACACCAGGGCCTGCCTGAGGCCGCCTATCCTTCCGCAGGTAATTACCCAAGGGTTGTTTGGGTGTGGGGGTTTTTTCTCTCTTGTCCATATATGTCAAATGTGCTGACACAATGAGTTACAGTGGAAACCTGATATAACAAGGATGGTGGGAGTAGAGAAAATGTCCTGTTAAATCCGATCCCTGTTAAATCAGAAATGCAAGGAAAGTAAGCATTTGTCGGCTAATCCAGCTATACTTATTCTTGGGTAGTTTCCCTTGCCACAAGTACCCACGAACTGGGGTTTTGGCACCGACTTTCTCCTTGCCTCTTTAAACCACATCAGAAGAGCTTGGTCCACAGCATCTGCATCTGGTAGTCTCATCTTCTTTCGATCCAGAGCAAACTTTCCATTGGAGTATGCTGCCACTATTTTCTCTCTATCCTTGATAATGGTGTGAATTGACCCTTGTGGAAAGTCGAACTGACGACAAATCTCTGCCAGTGGAGCTTGCTTTTTGTCAACAGCCTGGAATATTTCGTATTTTTTGGTCAATTGAAAGGCATTTTCTCTTGCGCTTGACATCGTTGGTGACACATTACACGTGCGTGTTGCTAGGTTTCGGGCTAGATCGAGGTCTGCAGCACACCGCAGCCCTCTCCCGCTTCACACACCGCGTGTGCTTGCAGTGGCATGGCTTGCGTGAGCTTGCTCCATCACTGCATTACTCTCTCTCTCTCTCTCTCTCTCTCTCTCTCTCTCTCTCTCTCTCTCTCTCTCTCTCTCTCTCTCTCTCTCTCTCTCTCACTCTCTCTCTCTCTCTCTCTCTCTCTCTCTCTCTTTTTACACATTGTTAACGAGCCTTTGTCCCTGCTATAACCGGTTGGGCTCCGATGAGGCCCTGTTATTGCCGATAACTTTAAATAGAGACAAAGAGTAGGAAAAAACGGTTTAAAAAATCCCTGTTATTACCGGATCCCTGTTATTACCGGGCCTGTTATATGTGGTTTCCACGGTACTTCTCACGACCCAAGAATGGAGATATCGGCTGAAAAGTCGACACTGGGGTCAGATTTAACGATTTTTCTGCTGATGCCGTTTTGTTCAAGTTTACTGTGTCTTTTACTATTCCATGCTCACAAACTGTACAAACTTCACCTATCAAGTTGATGTATCAATTTCCATAAAGCTGAAATCCGACAGGTAACTCATTTTGTCAGCGCAACTCACATATGGTCGCTTTTAAGGACTAACCTAGATTTCAGGGGTTTCCAGAAATTATCTTGATCTACACAGAAATTATCTTGATCTACACTATAAAAATTGACATCAAACCATTGTATGTTTGTTTCTGTTTTTCGGGGAGCGGGATGTAGGGAGTTCCGTGTCTCTTTTCTTTCTACATCATTACTGTGTTGAGATTCCTAGCTTTTTGGTAGGTGGTTGGCGGGTGCTCTGGTGTGGTTTGCTTCTTCTTTCCTATCAAACATCTATCGTCTTTATCTCCCCCTCCTCCTTTTTTGTGTTTGTTACTCTCTTGTAACACCTCTAATCCTCGGATCTTATATATGACCTCATTGTGTTGCGAGTGCCGTAAAACACTTATTCAAACAAAAATTAGCTGTTTTACAAATTACAGTACCGGGTATTCAAGCGACTCAACGTGTTTTGCTTTGTTCTATCTGAGAAGGGGGTTGTATTCCAAAGTCCAGCTTCCTAATAAAAAAAAGCTCACAAGAGCGGTGAACTCTTCCTGTACTGTGTGATTTTTTTTTTCTGTATTATATTTTTTCCTTTTTTATGTACAATACCTTTTCCTGTACTATGTACTTAAACCTTTTCCTGTATGATACTTAAACCTTTTCCTGTATGATACTTATACCTTTTCCTGTATGATACTTATACCTTTTCCTGTATGATACTTAAACCTTTTCCCGTATGATACTTATACCTTTTCCTGTACTATATTTATGCCTTTTCCTGTACGGTATTTATACCTTTTCCTTTTCGATACTTTTACCTTTTCTTGTACGATTTTTTTCTCTGTATCCTCAGGTATGCCGGCCGTAGACAGCAGTGGTTCGTCCCACAGCCTGTCAGAAAGCCCCAGCCAGAGCGTCTCTGGGCTGTCCTCCCTCGACCACATGCAGAACAAGATCGAGAAGGCGTTCCGCGAGGGCACAGCAGGAGGGGACACGCCATCATCGCACGGTGGCCGCGGGGCCAGAGACAAACCCTCGTCGTCCAGTCAGGCGACGTCTCACTCGTCTCCCCTGGCCTCGTCCACCTCGGGGAAAGTTCCGGGCTCGGCCGGGAACACGAGTGTGTCGTCCCCGCAGGAAAGTCTGTCAGCCCGCTACCCGGGCTCCTCGTCCCACGACCAGCACTCGGTCAGCTCTGTGCACTCGTCCGACCAGGCGGAAGAAGGGGCGGGGACGTCCTCCTCCTCGTCTGCGTCTTCGTCGTCGTACAGCCGAGGTATCGCCGGTCAGGCGCCTGAGACGTCTTCTGACCCGGCGCTGTCGCCCTCGTCCAGCGTGCAGCCTCACGGCAGGAAGCGCGGGCTGGGACGTCCGCGTGGCAGCAGACAGGATGACATCGTGTCCCCCGCGGCCATTTCCTCCTCCATGTCCTCTCAGGGAGGACCCAAGTCGACGGGCCCCGCCCCCCACTCCAGCAGCTCATCGAACCGAGAGCGGCCGTCCCCCAGCTCGGGTTCCAACGACGGCGGGAGCTCGCGGGGCAGCGGGCAGAAATCGAGCCAGGGAGGTGACAGAGACAAGTCGGGTCGCTTGTCGGCGTACGACTTCCCCGACGATAGCCCGGATGACGAACCCGTCGGGCCGACCCCCAGTAGCTACATGGCTCTGTCGGCCGCGGGGCGCGGCTCTCGCAAGTGTCCCGTGGACAGCTCGGAGGGGAAAGGTTCCTGGCAGGGCCCGGACACGCAGGCCGCGGAAGAAGGGAAAGGGGAGAAGAGCGAGGCGCAGGGGTTTGAAACCTTCTCCCCCACCACCCAGCCGTCAGACAGTGGGGCGGGCAAACCTCGTTCTCGCTACGGCAGTCGGGTGAGCAGCATCGAGGCGGACCCTGGCACGGGCCTGCACTCCTCTGTGGACAGCACACGGCCAGACAAGACGGCCGGCGAGGACGGGGAGGCGGTGGACAGCTCTACGGGCATCTCGCCCAGCGACCGCGGGAAACTGGCCAAGCAGCGCGGCGCGGCGCGGTCGGCCGTGGCCGCGTCCTCAGAAGGCTCGGCTCAGACCAGCTCGAGCGAGGCCGCGGGTCAGGGGTCGGAGGTCAGCGGGGGTTCGGTGGAGCCGGGCAGCGCTTCGAGCGGCGGCGGCGACTCACACCCGTACGGCCAGGGAGGCTGGAGGCACGCTCGGCCCGGACCCGACTCGGCGCTGGCGGAAGATTCTGGAAGCCGGTCCATTTCCAGCTCGGACCACACAGAGGGTGGGGCGGGTCACAGCGGCGGTGGGGGCAGCGGGGCGGGGGGAGGAAGCAGCAGCAGTGCCGCCAACAGCAGCACGCCCATCTCCAGCAGCCTCAACTACAGCAGCGGTCAGCCCGTGGTGTCCAGCATGATGAGAGACCCCGACCAGGCCACCGTCTGTTCCCGTGACCAGGAGCCGCGCCCGTTGCTGGACTCGCGCTACGAGACGCTGTCGGACGACGATGATGTGTGACGACGATGATGTGTGAAGACGTGTACGTGTTCAGCATGGGTGAAAGTTTATGCCGGCCCGGCCGGTTTTTTAACCTTGATAGACCTAGGACTGGCGATTTTTTAGACTGGGGCCGGCACGTTCGTGTGTAAAAAAACGCAACACGCAAAACTATGGTCTTGAAGCAGGACAGTAGTCCTGAACCTCCGTTCTTGGCCCATGAATGTGTTAACACCTGTTGTCTTTTTAGTAAGTGTGTGTTTTGTTGTCTTTTCCATTTTACCTTTCTGTACGATGACTTTCGGGTTTTAAAAAATTCCCACTGGGATCTTTTTCTCTGACCATTGAATGCAGTTGTTGATTGAAAACACATTTCTGTAAAAATGAATGTGATGTCTGTTTGAGTTTGTTTGATAAAAGTTTTAGGGGGCTCCCATCTGCATACGGTCATAGGAATGCACGGGACACAAGTTAGCCTACTTGATTTTACTTTGGTTCACAGCACAACTTTGTTTTACTTTCTTTCCTTCTTTCCTGCCAAACATCTGTCGTCCTTATCTCTCCTCCTTCTTTTTTGTGTTTGTTACTCTCTCGCAACACCGCTAATCTTCGGCACTTATTTGACCTTATTGTGTTGCAAGTGCCGTAAAACTCTTACTAAAACTTTAGTTTTACTTTGCAAACCGGAATGGTTGAAGTGTCCAAACATACAAAGTAAAAATTCAGTTTATAAAGATGTAAAGTTGTTTCCGCATCCTATCCGGACTTTGGGGATTGCCTTGTTAGTGAGACAACTTCCTGGGCCTTCGGCATAGTGTGGTAGGGTGGCCAGTTCCTTTCCACGCCGCCTTTACTTTCCCAACTCGAAGTCAGGTACCCATTACTGCTGGGTGGACAGGAGGGGGTGAAAAAAATCAGTGTCTGAACCGAGGCTCGAACCCGGACTTTCCGCTTCGGAGACGAGCGCACTGACCGCTCCTTCGGCACTTGACATTGTGACCTTATTGTGTTGCAAGTGCCGTAAAACACTTACGAAAACTAAAAACTCTGGACAGTGGTGTCGGGTTCCTGAAGCTAAGGTGGTGGCTCTCACTCTACTGCAACATGATGCCTCCTGGAAACTAGGAGTATTGTCTACATCTACAAGGGACAAGGAAAACAACCTCAATTTAACCATTTTTAAAAATCGCATCAGCTACCAACTTTTTTTTCTCATAGTATTTATGGTACAAATGTTGGGGAATTATCTGAAAACGTTTTTTTTTTAAATTAAAAGTTCATTTTGTGTTTGTTACTCTCTTGTAACACCTCTAAAATCTTCGGCACCTATACGACCTTTTTGTATTGCAAGTGCCGGGTGTCAGGGGGAAAAAAGTATCTAAAAACGTGTTGTTTTTTTAAGTTCATTTGAACCAAAATCCTCTGCTTGGAGACGGTTCTCTTTTTTTTTGTACTGACGAATTTGTAGGCTATGTATGTTATTGATGTCCCAAGTGAGATGCCAGCACCCCTTGGCGCTCATATGAACTTATGCAGTTGCGAGCGCCGTAAAAACTACTAAAACTAAAAACTAAAACTTCCAAATGGAGTCTCACGAATTTGTCTTGGGACAGCAAGGATGTTCCTGGATAGAAGAATGTGTGGCGTAGGCAACGGTGAGGGTAAGAAGAGGTTTGTAGATGATTGATCGGTTGTTAGTTGGGTTTTTTGTTGTTGGTTTTTTTGGGGGGGGAGGGGAGTTGTGTTGTTTGTTTTGTTTTTCTGCTTTCGATGATGATGTAATATTTATGATGTTGAACTTGTCTGTTGCTTTGTGTTTAGAGAGTACAGTTTTATTTACTCCTTCCAGTTAAGGGTACTAGTCTATACTAAGGGCATTTCTTTTGCAGATCTTCGGGGGAAATATTTTTTTAAAGATAGACATACTTGAATACTATAGGCTCTATTTGCCCTCATGCAAGCACTGCGACAGAATCTGCGCTTCAAACATAGGAAGAATTAGCCATGCAAGAAGCTGCATGAAGAAAACCTTGAGACCATCTTAAGCTAAATTGACCGTCTGCATAGACGAAAAGAGCCATATTATTATTATAGGCTCTATTGACCCTCATTTCACTACACCTGGGGTCTGGCAGATTCCAGACACTCACCATTTTCATTGTCACTTCTCCCCAAAATATTCATAGTTTCTAGAAATTTCCTGAATGCTGAGAACATTCTCTGCCACCATCATGTGACATTTTCACAAAACTCATTCATTGTAAATGCACACATAGGAACCGTCAAATGAACAGGGATAGGGCTGAATAGAGACTCAGTGTAAAGAGATACATTTATATATATATATATCTATAGCCACCACTTGTAATGTAAATTTATGCCAACTTTTAAAATTGTCAATATGATTCTCTCAAAATCACCATAATGTGTAGAATCTTTCTCTGTTATATTTTTCTCTTGTTTTATGTTGTCTTCAGTATCATGTACGTTGAACTTTTTGTAAGACTGTACCTTAGAATGTTGCCTTGCCATAGATAGTCATATCAGTTTCTGTTGTCACTGGAGAGAAGTAGATATGGTACCCTGTTTTCTTTTTCTTTTATTGATTGAACATATGTGAGGCAGCGTGGTGGAATCAGGCTCTCGTCAAAATAATCAAAGTGAAGGAACTTGCTTTTTTCGGTTGGTTTGTGGATTTTTATCAAATTTTTGTTTTTTGGCTGAAAACCTTTCATGCCCATTAAAGAACTCATTTCTGTGTGGATTTTTCTGAACAACGTTGATTAAAGGCACAAAAAATGTAAATTTTCAGTAACCACAGACTCTTAAGCGAAGGAAATAACTAATCTTTGGCCGCCATTTTCTCACTAATTTTACCTCTGAAAACGGGTGACCCTCACCTCCTTCACTCGCAAATATCTCAACTTGTATTCAAGATAAATGAATATTTTTTTCATCCAAATAAACACAAGTGAACAAGCTTTACGTTGATACCAACAACTCTACATGCCCAAAAATTGACGAGAGACTGATTCCACCACGCTGCCTCACATAGTCCTTTATGTGAAGTCTGCCTCATGATGACTAGCACAGAGGTTCTGATGTGTCGCCTTTCGCCCCCTCGTCCTGTGGTGTTCACTCTGTTGTATGGAAGAATTCGCCGTAATTGTTAAGTAAATGATAGTTATTTTGATTTTGATTACTTTGCCATTGTCTGAAGTGAGGAAACACTTGTTCAATAGAACTGAGAAGCGAAAGGTCTTGTATGTAGAAGACTGGTAGTTTGATATGTGGTATTGGAAGTTGTTTTTTTTTGTGAGCTTTCGGGGTGTGACAATTTTATTTTAACTGGGTTTTTTTGTGTTTTTTTTGTTTTTTTTTTGGGGGGGGGGGTGTGAAAGATGAAAGAGAGGATTGGGTTTGAAGATTTTATGACCCAGAGGAAAGTATATCATTGTAATTTTGCCTGAGGCAGAGATGATTGTGGTTCTCTTTCTGTAGGTGCTAAACTAATGATCATAAATGGTTACCCCTGTTCATTGTAATGATTTAATTAAAAGTCTTTGAAGTAAGCTTCCAAAAGGCTACAGTGACTAGGATTTCGCTTGAGCTTTTGTTTTGATTTTTTTTAATTTCCCCCTTCAAAAGTGTCTACTATGTTAAATGTTTTTTGCATTTTTAATTCATGCTTTTTCTGTCGTGATAGATTTTGTGAAATGCTGATAAATGCCGATGTTGCTGGATTTTTCATTTTTGAGTCCGTTGACTTATTGGCCGTAAGATGTTCAGTATTGTTTCCTACTATTGTGAGGCTTTGGTTCAATCATTGTAATCACGGGAATTTCAATAAAAAGAAATAGGCCTATTTGAGATGTGTGTGGGTTTTTTTTTTGGGGGGGGGGGGTTTGGTGTTTTTTTTTTTTTTTGTTGTCAATGGGTGGTTGGGCGTGTGTCAACGACTCAACAACAATAACAACAACAACATCAACAACAGCAGCAACAACAACAAGGGTGGTTGGGCGTGTGTCAACGACTCAACAACAATAACAACAACAACAACAACAACAGCAACAACAACATCAGCAACAACAACAACAAGGGTGCTCTGGTGTGGTTTGCTTCTTTCTTATCAAACATCTATCGTCTTTATCTCCCCTCCTTTTGTGTGTTTGTTACTCTCTTGTAACACCTCTAATCTTCAGCACTTATATGACCTTATTGTGTTGAAAGTGCCGTAAAACGCTTACCGAAACTAAACAACAACATGGTTGGTGAGGGGGGGGGGGGGGGTCAACCTAACATCTGCGTTTGATGCCACTTTTTTTTTGTCCAAAAGTTGGCTTTAATTTTCAAGCTTCCAACTCCTTGCGACGACGTATATATAGAGCAATATGTGGACAGCGTGGTGAAATCAGGCGCTCGTCAAAATAATGGAATTGAAGAAACAGGCACATTTCCACAAGTTTGGGAATTTTTATGGAATTTTCTTTTTTTGTCTCGGCACCTTTCGTGTCCATATAAAAACACATTTCCATGTGAATTTTACAGAAAAAACATTGATTAAAGGCGCACAATAGGTAATTTTATCATTTTCAGGGACTCTCAAGCTTTTGAAATTGTCAAACTTTGGCGGCCATTTTCTTGCTAATTTTACCTCTGAAACAGGGCGATCCCACCTTCTACAATCGCAAATATCTCAACTTGTATTCAAGATAGATGGATATTTTTTTCATCAAAAGTAACACAAATAAACAAGCTTTGAGATGATACCAATAACCTCATATGCCCAAAGTTTGACGAGAGCCTGATTCCACCACGTCATGACACATATATTGATTGAGGAAACAGCGTAAAGCACCAGAATTTCTTGTGCTCTGTTTTAAACATCCAGCATGTG